ATATATTCTTTTTTGGAAGTTGAAACCAAATTTAATTAGGTCAAAAGAATATATATATATATATGAGTTGGGTTTGGAGGTGAACATAGTACCCAGTGTACCCACCACCTTACAAACCAAGAAAATCACATCACTTAAAGTCTTGGTTAGCACCCACCATACTTCCTCTGCAACTCCATCACGCAACCACTCTCTATATATCTTCCACATGCTATCAAAATCAAAAAATTACATTCACATATACATAATAATACCTATATATGTAAATATATATCGAAAGTTCAAACGAGAATACCATTATTTTACGAGAACGTGAGAAGACATGTATCATATGAGATACTTTATTAAAGAGTCTGGAGACCATCGCTCGCACACCCCTGTTGTTAATTCTTTAATCATATGTGATGGAATATAGTACAAGAATGTTCTTGTGTTTTTGCACTACAATAAAATCGGGTTTATAGGACACTCTCAAATTCTAAGTATTCTAATAGAACTCTTTATAGGACGGACTAAAAAAATAAAGCGTTATATCTAAAAGCGTTATAATAAGTTTATATGACATTTTTTGATGTCATAATAAGTGTTTTGGGACATTTTTAATATAAAATGTCACATTATCAACTTTATAGGACGCTATTTGAAAATTTGTCCTATAAAAAATTGAGTTTATAGGACAATTTCTCAAAAGTGTCATATAAAGTTGCTAATGCGACATTTTGTATTAAAAATGTCCTCAAAAACTTGTTAAGACGTCCAAAAACGTCATATAAACGTATTATAACACCTTTAGATATGACACTTTATATTTTGGTCATATAAATTAAGTCTTATAAAACTGTCTATTGGGACACTTAAAGATTATGGACGTCTTATAAACGTAATTTTGTTGTAGTGTTTTCATTTGAAATTATTCCTTATACATATTTGACTACACAAAAACACAATTTTGACTTCGGTTTAAAAGGTTTCTACATTTGTGATTTCTACGGTATAATATAAAGTATACCTAAGGTTGAAGTTGAGATTTATATATGTATTACTTAACAAACTACAAGCGTTGTCGATATTGCACGATGGAAAAAAGACTTCAATCGCTTTGTGTGCCTTATAATTGATCGATCGAGTCTCTAGAAAAATGTTATATTCTAGATATCTATCAAGAAATGAATTATTGATCATTTTTCTAGTTGTATGAGGGATTTTGTATGATCCATGATCAATTAGTAGCTTAAATTTTGAAGTGTGGATTAATTAAGACATGCACAAATGTGGGGTTTTATGTATTATATATATATATATATATATATATATATATATGTATGTATGGATGTATGTATGTATGTATATAAGAATTTTTAAATACGAACCATAAAAATGTTATAAATTTTTAAGAACAAATTTTACTATTCAGTGAGTTTCATTTTAAGCAATGATTTAAGTTGTTTTACATGCTTTGTTTTTCGTATGTATGTATTTCATACATCAAACATATTTACATGTTTTTTATATGTGAAACAATCATGAATGTTTCGTATATTAAAGAACACTGTATGCTTCACAAGTATTATTTCATATGTGAAACAACACATGAAAACTTATTCGTATGGTTCGTAACATTTTTGAAGTTCACATTTAATGTGTCCTTGCATGTATGTGTGTGTGTATATATATATATATAGAGAGAGAGAGAGAGAGAGAGAGAGAGAGAGTATCGTGTGATAATATCAATTATGATGAGAACGATTCTAATTAGCCTTTTGGGTAAGTTGACTTTATGATCTACCTTCAACTACATTCATTTATTTTGATCTTCATCCATTTTCATGAACTTTTACATACATATATATGAATTTGTTAAAGTTTTAGGTTATGATGATAAAAATAGGTACTTGAAGGTATAGATGATTTTGTTCTCACGTTCTCACCATAACTCTTATTCTCACCGAACCCAACTTTATAAATAAATAAATAAATATATATATATATATATATATATATATATATATATATATTCTTCTCATATATTAATACCTTCTAATGCCCCACATTGCATCATTCTTCACATCTCTCTTTAGTTCTCTGTGAAGGTATTTCTTTTCATACTCTTAATTGGTGTTATAGAAATGTCACTGTTACTATGCATAATGAGAACTAGATCAGGGAATATGGGTCATCAACTACCCATTTCAATCAAGAACCCTTCCCGTTTTATGCATGCTAGGTAACCATGACAATGGTGGTGATCCTAATGGGAATTTCTCTCTCTACCATGATCAGGCAAGTGAAACTGTGTTTTTCTTGATCTTTCCTGCTTTTAAAATCAACCATTTTCTAATTTCTCTGTATGTTCTTTCATTTCATGATCATTTCAGCATTGTATTTATAGTAATTCGTATACTCGTTCGATTCGAAGAATTCTAGACGAATAAATTCCTAAAAAGCTCAGGTTCAGATTGATCATGGATATATTTTATATTAGTTACAGTTTCTTAGAAATTTTATAGAAAATAATTTGAAAAATTTGCCATTTAAATTACATATGCAGACAAAAAAACAATCTAAACTTGTTATGATGAATGATGTCTACATCATTTCATCTCATAAAAAAGGGAAAGAAAACAAGAAAAAGATTGAATCAAGTGTCAGTACCTAATACCCAGATGAATTTCTTTTCTGCATTTCAAGTTTCTTTCAAAGGGTGTATTGTGATTGGTGCATGCTGGCTATGAAATTCCTGAACTGTTCATCATTGGTCCTACTTATGTTCTAGAGGTGACTTTGGCTTAATTTCTTGATTTCCAGTACCAAAGAAGCCCAAATCCTTTGGCTTTCAATTGTCTATGAAGTAAAAAGGTGCATAAATATGTAGAAAAATGTGTTCTTGTTGTAGGATTCAATTTGTTTGGTGAGGTTTGATCTTTTTCGCATCGTAGACCTCTAGTTTTTTCTCAAGAACTCAGTCGAGATCATCGATCCTTCGACTTTTTATAGACAAAAGGAAGGATTTTAATCAACACCAGGGAAAGCTTCACCTTGTTAGGTATGTATAGTGGCGGTGCTCGTGGCCCGTATCATCTTAAACAAACTGGACACGCCCGATTAGAGAAAAAGAAATGGCTGAAAAAACAAGACATCTTGGGAGTTCGACAGAAAATTTTGCGATAAATGGATCTGAATATGAACACAGATCAATTTAATGAAGTATCCATTGATTTTTATTCAGTTTTTCAGACAACCCAGAAAGATTTAAGCTTCCACCTAAGTAATTCTTGAATTCCAATGATTTGGTGGTAAATTACTTGACTTGTTCAGTTAATTTAAAGACATTTGAAGCTAAAAACCTATAGGAATCTGTCAATTACAAATTTGGATGTTCTTAATTGGTTCAGAATTTCAAATATATTAGATGTGGGCTCTAGATTTGAACTTCAGAAAGCATTTTATGGAAAAATTAACCGTAAAGATAGAAAGTTAATTGTGGGTATATGCTTTTACGATGAGAAACTGATCGATTGAATTAAGACATGCATCATAGTATTCGAAATAATTGCTGAACACAGGCAACGGGAAATCGAAGCGAATAAGGGTGTGCTAGCTAATTAACATGCTTTTAACTAGCTACAAGTATCCCAGAAAGGAAACCAAGATTTCTTGCAAGAACATCAAAAACTGTGATGTTAATTAGAATAATTAGTCTGATGGCGCATTTCCCTTTTGTAATCATCGATTTTATCTTCAACAACATCCAAAAGAATGAATGAATTGTCTGAATGTGTTATATATATGTAGATATATAGAGCAATTTCATGAATAGACCGTTACAAACACTCGAATTGAAGGCACAAAAAATCATAATCAAATGGATTAACTAACTAATCAACAGCAAATGTAAATATATATAGAGACTTACATCGAGGGACACCATTTGCTGCTCAAACTGCAGCGGGAAATGCTATTCGTACAGTTACGCCCCCGTGAGACCCCTCTATTTTGACGTATCGCCGGCCAGCATCAATAAAACCAAATTTTATGCATTGATCACTGGATCTGGCTGATGGCTGATCAAGATTCAAGAACATAGTATGCTATATGATTTAATCCTGCCATATTTATATGAAGTTCATTACTCTATCAATTAAAAAGAAAAGAAGATTAGCAAATCATGTCTTAATTTGTTTAAATAGTGTACCTTTTGAGGATCTAGGTTAATGGGTAGTACTGTTCTTAAACTGGGAGGTTGAATCTTTAGATTCAACAAAGCAACTATAGTGGGAACTGTACAGCAATGAGTATGGCTTTGAAAGCTTTTGATCCATGGCTGCTGATTCCCCAATTTTGACATCTTGATTGCTTTGTGATTGAATTTGATTTCCACAGTTTGATTGAAGGTGATAACAGTAGTTTTGATCACCAACAACATTCTCGGATTCACTTCTGAGTTTTTGCAGTTTTTCAATTGTTCTTTCCCTAGCTCTTGCTCTTGCCTCTGCCCTTGATTGGCTTCTTGCTGCAAGATTCACATGAAATCCAGCTTTCTGTTTTTGTGTTGTCGTTTTCTTTGTCGTCTTCCTTTTACTACCGCCATTACCGCATTTGGTTATGGGTGGTTTCTTCGACTTCTTTCCCTTGATCTTTTCAAGATGATCTCCTGATCCTTTCCCCAAGAAAACCTCTTCACATTGATCAGTAAGAGCTGAAGATGAACTGTGTTGCTTCATTTCTTCAACCAAATCTTTGATGGCAGTTTTGGACTTTGTAAACAACCAATCAAGGGTTCTGCTTGCTTTATCAAACCCTAGCAAATCTTGAAGACCAAAGAACTTCCTCGAAATGTCGATGGACAACCTCACCCTCCGATCTCGGGGACCTTGCGCTGTGAAGATCTTACTATGCCGATCTTTCTTCGAACCCGAAACTCTAGTTTTAGATGGAAAAGAAATCACTGAATCTGAAAAATGGTTACGACTATTATCACAATATCCTACTACTTCTGATCCTTTGATAGCAGGTGGAAGAAGAGGTGGAACAATGGCGGTGGTGGTGACATGATGAAAAGAACAATCTCCGGCAACAAAAGGAGGGTGGTGGTGGAAGTAAACACCATCTTTCTCATGGCCATAAAAGCTAGCAGCAGACGCCGGAGGGAAGCCATGGATGGATGATGGAAAAGGGTTGGAAGAACTATTATACATATTTAGAAACAAATTTGAACTCAGAAAAAATGTCTGAAAAGAATTCAGCTAAAAGATTCAGCCAATTCAAGTAAAAGCTATGGTTTACAACACCCTTTGATCCAAAATGGCTTAATCTACATAATGCATCTGCTTTAAGCCACAAATCTTCATCTTTTAGGGCAACAAATTGTTCTTGTTTTAACTAGGGCAACAAACGTTCATCTTTCAGGGCATAATTAAGTAAACTACTGGCACTTCCAAAAAAAGAACAGGTTTTTTTCTGGAATTTTTGGAGTGAACCTGTACCTTCATTTAAGATATCATTTTTTTTTTAATTTAAAAATTAAATAAATAAATAAAAATAAATGAAAATTAGAGGAAGCAAACAAAAACAAAAATGGATTATTGATGGAAAAATCTAATCAGATGCCATCAAATTTTTTTCCTCTGATCAAACCGAAAAGCTAGATTTATATTCGTATGAAGAAAATCGACCATCTAGGGTTTATGTATATAGATAGAGATGGACCGTACGTGCATGTATATTGCATTTCTTTTTATATTTTACCGGAAAGTACTCGTGCAATGCAGTAAGATACATCTTCATTTTAATGTTTCGTTTTATTTTTCATCTCAGTCGATATTATAACATGGTCTTATGTGATTTTGAGAAAGCGATAATGTTTTTATTTTTTGAATAAAAGTAAATTTGAAAAAATATATCGATGTTAATATCAAATTAACTATTTAAAGTATTCGTTTTTTATATAATTTCTTTAATTCAATTTTTTGTTATAATTTGATTTAGGTCAAATAGTGAAGTAATTTATTTTTGGCTTAACAATAATTTTTTTATAAAGATAATGATTCTGTTGGAGCTTGATGATTATCCTATATATATTTTAGATTTTTTATTTAAAGTGAGATGTTTATCCTATATTTGATTATGTTTATCTGCAGTTTGTTACATGAATTTATACATGGAGCTTTAATAAGTTGTACATACGCACAATTTACTTGTAATCTTGAACTTTAAGTAATATGCATCAATACACAATACTTAATACATAAAGAATGATTTTTAAGAGTTTTTGTCAAATGCTCTATAATATAGTATAAATTAGGGCAAAACATACATCTAAGTTTAATGAATTTTGTCATATTTTTTATTTAATATCACTAAATATTCAAATTTTCCTAATTTTTTTATTAACCTGGATATCCAACCCGCTATGCGAGCCGACTAATCCCAGGACGACCACCTGCTTTGCAGATAGCTCAGAGTTACCGCATTTGAACCTCCGTGGCCAGAAGGGAATTTTTATTCCTCTTTGGATTTGAACATTGGACCTCTAGGTACTTTTGACCTTTGGAGTCAAACTCAAACCAATCAGGCACCAGCCTTGTGGTTAAATTTTCCTACTTTTGGTACTTGTTTAATTGATAAAGGTGTTTTAGCACAACTTTTTCGGATAACTGTGGATATCTGGGGTATAACCACCGACATATCAGACGATCACAAATAATTTAGAATCGTTGTAGGTAAACTTTCATGGCAACGGTTGGTTTAATTAAACACATGGAAGATGAGATTTTTATTACATATGCCTGTGAGCCTAATTAATTAATGTGCTACATGAGTTGTATAACTTGATAATTTGACATTAATATCATTAGTAGTTATAAGATCTATTTATTACTGATATGCTTGAACGTGTGTAATTAATTGAGAAAAAAATAACTGTTACATAAATAAGTATTAAGGGTTTAAGGAAAACTTTGTTACATTTGTTATAACAAAATTGATTTTATAGAACGTCTAAAATCTAAAAGCGTCTTAAAAGAATACTTTATAGGACTTATATTTGTAGGACCAAACTAAAAAGCGTCATATCTAAAAGTGTTACGACATGTTTATATGACGTTTTTAGCGCCTATTGACTTAAGGATTTGACAGTTCCACTCGTGCTTCTTGAAAGGAAAGAAATAGCTCGACTGTTAGGGATTCGTGGGGCATGAGTTAAGCATATAGTGGATTTATCTTTCTTTCGATTGAGCGTTGTTTTAACAAGGTTTTCAGAATGTTTTTAAAATAAAGTGTTGTATTAGTTATTTTATATGATACCATTTGAATGAGTGTTGTATTAGAACATTGCTCAAATATATTAAATAAAATAGTTAATATGACACTTTATTTTAAGAGCGTTCTAAAAAACTTATTAAAATGCTAAAAAGCGTTCTATAAACATATTGTAACGATTTTAAATACGACCCTTTATAGTGTAGTATATAATCATAAGTTCTATAAATTATTTTATTAAGACGTTTACACAATCTGGACATCTTATAAATACAATATTATTTACAATGATTTTAACATATTTTGTTTATTTGATTACGTTACCTAAATCTTTTTTCAAAAAAATATATGATTTAGTTTTTAAATATATTTTAATTATTTATTAAACTTTTTAATATTTTTTAGTCAATATCTATACTATACTATAAAATATTGACATAAACTTTTAAAAATCATTGTTTTATACATTAAGTACTGTTTATTGGTTTATATTACTTAAAATTCAATATTACGAGTAGATTGTGTGTAAGTACAACTTATTAAAGTTTCATGTTTGAATTCGTATAACTAACTGCAGATAAACATAATCAAATAAAGAATAAACATTTCATTTTAAATACAAAATATAATTAAGATAATCATTGAGTTCTAACAAAATACTTAATTATTATCTTTATATAAATATTATATTATTAAACCAAAAATAGAAAAAAATGAATAAAAGAAATACACAAAAAATGAAAAATTTTAAATAGTTGGTTTGGTACTAATATCAATATATTTTTTTAATTTTTTATAATATACCTTCATATTTATATTTTATTCAAAAATAAAAACATTATCGTTTCCTCAAAACCATATCAAATTGTATTATAACATCGACTGAGACAAAAAACAATGAAACATTAAAATCGAAATGTAAATCATTACATTGTGCTAATACCTTTATATTAAATTAATAATATATACTAGCATCTATTAAACAATGTATTTTATAATGCATTTCAAGACTAACGAGTCTATACCAATAATAGAAAAAAATTTAACGATAAAATCTCTTAAAAAATAAATATAAAAAGAATTTGGCCTTAATGTATTGTATCTCAAAATTGGGTTAAAAGATTTTGAATTTTATTAAATATTAAATAATTTAAAAATAATAATTATAATAAAAAAAAAAAGGTACAAGTACTATAATAATTAAAAAAATATAAAAAAATCATTTTAAAATTAAACAATAAACACTATGAGTACTATCCATTTGGTAAGGAGGTGACAACCAATTGCCAACCTGACATGCCAATACAACCCAAATGCAACAAAACAAATTAAGGTCAGGCTGAGGGCTTAATGGTAATTTCCTTTTACAACTATTTTATTGGGGATAAATTAAGGGTCCGTTTACCAAACACTTATTCGGTAAGTGCTTACCTCTAACATTCAACACTATCACATACTTACCGGGTAAGATTTTAGTCCACCAACACGACATCATATACAACAATTTGCCCGGTAAGAACTAACCGTGGTAAGAGTCGTCACCATCACTTACCGGGTAAGACTCCCGGTTCTTGCTTTCGTTTTTACTAGGTAAGATTCTTGGTCCTTGTCATATTCATCCGGTAAAGTAATGTGAATTGGTAAGTACTTATCCGGGTAAGCGTTTAGTAAACGCTCATAACACATTTTCATATAATTTTTGCTCTTGAAAACAAGAAACAGGTGATGGTGATGGACAAGCTTAAGTCGAGTAAAACTTGGGACTGGTGTAGACCCATTTCGAGATGGAAGTGAAGCCGAGGAACTCAAGCAACTGATGGAAGCAATCAAGGACTGCTCGTTGCCCGATAAACCTGACAGTTGGAGTTGGGGTTTAGTCTCTGATAGTGCGTTTTCTGTCGGTTCTTTAAGATGTACCATCGAGAAATCTTACTTGGGAATGGGAGAAAAGGAGACTGCATGGAACCAATTGACCCCTTCTAGAGTAAATATTTTTATGTGGAAAGTTACGCTCGACAAAATTCCTTCCCATGACAATCTCTCCAAGATAAAAACGAACCTTGATTCTATCCTTTGTCCGGTTTAGGGATCTGCTGAAACTACCAGCCATTTACTGTTTGAATGCATTGTAGCATCGGGGGCCTGGAGATTCATTGAAAGATGGTGGTTGATATCTTTTCCCACAGATAGCAAGCGAGGAAAATCTTGTTAATTGAGCTCTGGAAGCAGTTTTCTTCATCAGTTGTTATATTTTGTGGTGATACCGAAATAGATGTGTCTTTGATAGTTCTCCTCCCCGTAAAGATTCTCTTCTTGATCAGATTGTGCGGAAATCATTTATTTGGATTATGGCTAGGTGTAAAAGGAGTGTCAAAAACTCGATAGTGTGGAGATTCCATCCGTCTGATTGTATTAGAAATCTGGAATGTTTTTGCTCCTCGTTTTCTAGCTTATTGCTAGCCTGTAATAAAAGTTCTGATTGTTGTTTCAGAAAAAAAAGTTCACACCTTGACGGTTTGTGTTTCGGAGACGGGAACTTGCATTAATCACATCTTGTTCAAACCCCTGGTTGATTTTATGTTTGTTCGTGATCAATTATGCATGCTCAATTTATCTTGCAAGATAATCTTCGGTTGGTTTAATTTTTCAAATCCAATATGTCGATATCTATAGTATATTATAAAGCATTTGACAAAAACTCTTAAAAACCATTTTTTTATGCATGAAGTATTGTTTATTTATGCATATTACTTAAAATTCAAGATTATGAGTAATTTTGCATAAGTACAATTTATTAAAGCTCCATTTTTAAATTCGTGTAACTAACCGCAGATAAACATAATCAAATATAAGATAAACATCTATTTTAAATATAGAAAATCTAAAATATAATTAAGATAATCATTGAGCTCTAACAGAATGTTTAATTATTATCTTT